CCTCTCTGTGGGCATTAATGAAGAAAAAGAAATTTTCAAAACACATGGAGAGCAAGGTCCCTCTCCTGGCATGCGCTTTAAATGGATGCGAAAAATGCCGTATTTACTTTGACGTACCCACATTTAAGCCCTCGAACTTTGTGCGTCTCTTTTTATTCAACTCTTACAAAAGCGTTTGGACCACCTGGGCCCTCAAACCTCCCACTTTCTACTAATAATTTTCTAGCGTGGACCCAAATATTTCTTTTAATAATTAAATTACATAGAAAAAAAAATAAGTTTTGACTTTAATTTTAGTTATTAATTTATTAAATTAATACACATAATATTGATGTTAAAATTAATATTTATTTTTAATATAATTTTATAATTAAAAAATATATTAATTACATAATACAAGTTAAAAATATAATTGATACTTTTATATTAATTAAATTGACATTAATTTTATCATTAATACTATATATAATGTTTTAATTTGATAGTTGATTAAATAAATTTTAAATTTTATTTTTTAATGACAATCAATACTAAAAGGAATGTTTTTAACCTATACTTTAGAATGCAAATTAAAAAAATTCTTATTTTGTATAATCATTAAGTTTTCTAATCAATGTAAACAGGGGCAGAGGGAGGGGGTGCGAGGGAAGGTGCTAGCCCCCTTGAAATTTAAAAATCTTTATAAATTAATATGTAAAAAATTATCTCATTCCCTTTCAAAGAAAAATTCTAGCTCCGTCCATGAATGTAAAGTGGATTAAAGATGAAAATAAATTTTTAAGCACTAATTATTGGAAAGTGGAGTGTTTTAAATTTCTCTATTTTTGTGTAAGCTTAAAGTATAAGACTACAAAAGTGAAGGTAGCAATGTTATATGGCAATAACTTTGAAAAAAAAAATTAATTTGAACTCTTAATAAAAGTCCTATAAACACAAAGTGACTTTTTTTTTTTTTTTTTGGTTTTTGACAAAGCGACATAATTTTGTGTGTGATAACGTGAATTTTGCGATAGGTGGGTTTAAATCAATATCATTCTGCTCGAGTTTGGAAAACAACATCATTTTGAACATAGAATTCAATTCTTTGACATTCAATAAAAGTATATTTGAAAAATAAGAGATATGGAGCCCACAAAGTTAGTGATATTAACTTAACTAAGCTCTCATCTATAATAAGTTTTGAATGATGCATTAATTAAAGAGTCATACTCATACAATTTTAATTTATATCCTTTTCCACTTATCTAGTTTTAAACTTAAAATATTTAAGTTTGCACTTTTTGTCAAAATTAAAAAGTTGAAGACGTTCAAACTCTCTTCCAATTTCCGAGGGCTTAAGCTGAAAAATCCTGCAAAATTCGAGAGCTTAAACTCTCTTAAACATAGCCATCATATCAACATCCCGGTAATTGTCTTATTCGATATCCCATGAAAAGACCCTCCCTCTTAAAAAATAAAAAAAAAAACTCTATTAGTTTTTCTTTGAGAATATT